TCAAAATTGACAATTTCATTGACGTTTGGATTAATCCGTCATCCGGTCACTAGATGTCGCGGCAAAATATGACAGATGTACATCTAAAGCGATATATATTACATTACTAAGCATTACACACATTTTAGGTTCATTATCAGAACTCATTTATTTTTCTCACTTAGACTTGAGTGAGAGATACTAACAGGTAGATTTAGAAGTACAAAGTCATCTTATACAGTACAGGGTCATCAAAATTGATTGAGAGAGTTGGTACACCTGTTTTTGTCGTGAAGTTTGTCAACCTTATGACAGATTTGTTTAAGATTATATGGCAATGAATTCAGTGGCGTGACAAAAATTCGAAACTTCAAATCTGACAACTAATATTTTTACCAAAAAAAAAATCGAAAAAAGACGCCACTGAGTTTTGAAATTTGGAACTTGAAACTTCAAATCTGACAGTTAATATTTTTATACAACTTAATAAACCAAATTATTCAAGTTCAGGTTTACCAACTCTCTCAATCAATTTTTATGACTCTGTATTTACCACAAACCAAAAACAATTTCAAATTAACAAACTTATCAGTTCCCGATTTTGTGAAAAATGTTTGCTCAAAAAGCAGCACCTTTGTAGGAAAAATGTAGAGAAGAAAGAAGTGGTGAATAAAAAAATTGTCACAATTGAGAGGGGGTGGGTGGGCGGGATTTCATTTAGTGTATTATTTTTAATATACGAAATGTTCTTTTCCCAACAAGAAACTAAAAACATTTAACTATCCTGTTGTTTAAAGAAAACTATATGTTACTAAAAAAAATCCCAATCTCAATTGTGATGAATTTTTTATTCGTTGTCAGACCGAGGGGCGGAGCATAATTGCAAAATACATATTCCTCTACAAAAATTTTGAACACTTTTTAAGTTTCTTGTTATGAAAAGAAGACTACGTATATTAAGAAGACAGGATGAAATTTAAGCCCCACCCACCCACCCTATCTCAATTGTAATGATTTTTTTTATTCATTGCCAGACCGAGGGGCGGAGCTGAACTGCAAAATCCACATTTCTTTACAAAATTTTACTCTTTGAAGAACATATTTCACATGGTAATTTCTTGTAGAAAAATGAATATTTTGCAACTAAGCTTCGCCGTCGGCTCATGATGAATAAAAAAATCATCACAAATGAGGGGGGGTGGGTGGGCGGGGCTTATATTTTGACCATTTTTTTCTTAATATACGAAATCTTCTTTTCGCAACAAGAACTAAAAACATATTTAACTGTTGTGTTGTTCAAAGAAAACTATATGTAAGAAAAAAAGTCCCGATCTCAATTGTGATGAGTTTTTGATTCTTTGTCAAACCGAGGGGCGCAGCATAATTGCAAAATACATATTTCTCTACAAAAATTTTGAACACTTTTTAAGGTTCTTGTTGTGAAAATGAGACTGTATGTTAAGAAAAAAGGGCAACATATAAGCCCCACCCACCCTATCTCAATTGTAAGGATTTTTTTTATTCGTTGTCAGACCGAGCGGTTGAGTTTAATTCCAAATTCGCGTTTCTCTACAAAATTTTACTCCTTTAAGAACACATTTCGCATGGTATTTTCTTGTAGAGATATGAGGATTTTGCAGCTACACTCCGCCTTTGAGCTCACGATGAATAAAATATTCATCACAAGCGAGAAGGGGTGGGTGGGCGGGGCTTATATTTAATACATTTTTTTTAATACACGAAGTCTTCTTTTTCCAACAAGAAACTAAAAACATATTTAACTATCGTGTTGGTCAAAAAAAAATATATGTAATAAAAAAAAGTTCCGATCTCAATTCTGACGAATTTTTATACGTTGTCGAACCGAGGGGCGGAGCTTAATTGCAAAATACATATTTCCCTATAAAAATTTTGAACATGTTTTAAGCTTCTTGTTGTGAAAAGAAGACTGCGTATATTAAGAAGAAATAGCAAAATATAAGCCCCGCCCACCCACCCTATCTCAATTGTAATGATTTTTTTATTCATTGTCAGGCCGAGTGGCGGAATTGAATTGCAAAATCCATATTTCTCTACAAAATTTTGCTCTTTTAAGAACGTATTTCACATGGTAATTTCATGTGGAAAAATAAAGATTTTGCAACTAAACTCCGCCGTCGGCTCACGATGAATACAAAAATCGTCAGAATTGAGAGTGGGTGGGTGGGTGGGGCTTATATTTAGTACATTTTTTTTAATACACGAAGTCTTCTTTTTCCAACAAGAAACTAAAAACATATTTAACTATCGTGTTGGTCAAAAAAAATTATATGTAATAAAAAAAAGTTCCGATCTCAATTCTGACGAATTTTTATACGTTGTCGAACCGAGGGGCGGAGCTTAATTGCAAAATACATATTTCCCTATAAAAATTTTGAACATGTTTTAAGCTTCTTGTTGTGAAAAGAAGACTGCGTATATTAATTTTAATAATAATGAAAAAACTTTCAGAGTTTAAAAAATATATTTGTAGTCACTGCTACACGTGTTTCGGTACACAGTACCGTCTTCAGGCAGAAGAGAAACTGGGGTTTTACAGAGCTATTCCTGAATTTATACCTGATTTAACAATGGTGTTTACAAATTTATGTTAAGTAAGGGAGATTTGTTTATTTCGGTTTGGTCGTTCATTAGTGTATTTAATTTATTGTACCTATTTATTTCCAGACATTCTAACGCGTTTAATTTTGCGCCTTTATTTTCTATGTGTAAAATTTTGAATTCGTCGTTGAAATTATGCTGTTCTTGGATAAGGTGGTTCGCGTACGTAGAATTTGATTTTTTGTTGACAAATGCTGATTTATGTTCTTTTATCCTTTCCTCAAATTTTCTCCCTGTTTGTCCGATGTATACTAAGGGGCAGTCACCACAACTTAGCATGTAAACTCCAGAATTCGATTTCTTAGGTGACTTGTCTTTACTATTGTTTAATAAACAATGGTAATTTCATGTGGAAAAAGGAAGATTTTGCAACTAAGCTCCGCCGTCGGCTCACGATGAATACAAAAATCGTCACAATTGAGAGCGGGTGGGTGGGTGGGGCTTATATTTTGTACATTTTTTCTTAATATACGAAGTCTTATTTTCGCAACAAGAACTAGAAACATATTTAACTATTGTATTCTTCAAAGAAAATTATATGTAACTAAAAAAAGTCCCGATCTCAATTGTGATGAGTTTTTTATTCGTTGTCAGACCGAGGGGCGGTGCATAATTGCGAAATACATATTTTCATATAAAAATTTTGAACATGTTTTAAGTTTCTTGTTGTGAAAAGAAGACTACGTATATTAAGAAGAAAGGGCAAAATATAAGCCCCGCCCACCCACCCTATCTCAATTGTAATGATTTTTTTTATTCGTTGTCAGCTCGAGCGGCGGAGTTTAACTGCAAAATCCAGATTTCTTTACAAAATTTTACTGTTTTAAGAACATATTTCACGTGGTAATTTCGTTTAGAAAAACGAGTATTTTGCAACTAAGCTTCGCCGTCGGCTCATGATGAATAAAAAAAATCATCACAAATGAGAGGGGGTGGGTGGGCGGGGCTAATATTTTGTACACATTTTCTCTTAATATAAGAAATCTTCTTTTCGCAACTAGAACTAAAAACATATTTAACTATTGTGTTCTTCAAAGAAAACTATATGTAACTAAAAAAGTCCCGATCTCAATTGTGATGAGTTTTTGATTCGTTGTCAAAACGAGGGGCGGGGCCTAATTGCAAAATACATATTTCCCTATAAAAATTTTGAACATGTTTTAAGTTTCTTGTTGTGGAGAAAAAGACTGCGTATGTTAAGAAGAAATAGCAAAATATAAGCCCCGCCCACCCACCCTATCTCAATTGTAATGATTTTTTTATTCACTGTCAGGCCGAGTGGCGAAATTTAATTGCAAAATCCAAATTTCTCTATAAAATTTTGCTCTTTTAAGAACATATTTCACATGGTAATTTCATGTGGAAAAATGAAGATTTTGTAACTAAGCTCGGCCGTCGGCTCACGATGAATACAAAAATCGTCACAATTGAGAGTGGGTGGGTGGGTGGGGCTTATATTTAGTACATTTTTTTTAATATACGAAATCTTCTTTTTCCAATAAGGAACTAAAAACATATTTAACTATCGTGTTGAAAAAAAAAAACTATATGTAATAAAATAAAAGTTCCGATCTCAATTCTGACGAATTTTTATTCGTTGTCGAACCGAGGGGCGGAGCTTAATTGCAAAATATATATTTCCCTATAAAAATTTTGAACACTTTTTAAGTTTCTTGTTGTGAAAATGAGACTACGTATGTTAAGAAGAAACGGTAAAATATAAGCCCCACCCACCCCCCCTATCTCAATTGTAATGATTTTTGAATTCATTGTGAGGCCGAGTGGCGGAATTTAATTGCTAAATCCGTATTTCTCTACAAAATTTTACTCTCTTAGGAACATATTTCGCATGGTAATTTCTTATACATTAATGAGGATTTTGCAACTAAGCTCCGCCCTCGGCTCACCTTAAATAAAAAAATCATCACAATGGAGTGGGGGTGGGTGGGCGGGGCTAATATTTCGTTCGAGATAATAACGCTTCGTTCGTTTTGTTGTTGACTTTGTAGAATTCTGCCACATCATTATCGTCTCACATTCTAATCCCCGCATCCACTCTTTACGCGAGCATGAAATTGAACCGCGACCCAACTAACCCGTCGAAAACAAAATTAACATTTAAAAACACAAAGCTCCGCCAACCCTTCATAAAAAAAGCCATAATAAAACACCTCCTTTGAAAGAAAATAATTCGTTCCGGCGACTTTTTCGTTTCGACTAACCTCTGGCACGAAACCTTGACCCAGTAATTATTCCAAAGTACAATTTTCTCTGACAAAACAAAAACAACGTTGCACTTTGTTATTATCCATGATCGGCAGCGCAAGGCCGCCTGTCTGCAGTTGCCAACCGCCGCTCGAATTTTTGCAGTACCACAATTAACCGGCTCGGTTTGTTTCTTAATCAGGAAGAGATCGATAAAAGTCGCCTCGCTATAAATTACGCGATCCAGCATTTTGACAAGCACTGACCAACGCCACACACGCACGCTTGACTCAGTTGAACCAGTTTGCGACGTTGCCGCGTCGATTTTTTCGTGAAAATCGGGAAGTCGGGAAGCGCGGCCCGCTAGATCCCGAATTGAAACGTAAATAAACAAGCGAGTTAACGAACCCGGGTCAAATCTTCCGCCGTTCTAAAAGTAATAATAATAAATTATTAATGCTCGCTGGAAATTTCCGACGTCTTGAACATTATGCCGGACTGGTTGATTTACTTTTACACATGGCTCGGTAGACGCTACATCGGAATGTGCAGGTATCGCTAAGTCGGCAACGTTGCAGATCGTGATTCAACTCGCTTCATGTTTTATTGTCATCTCGCGGTGCTCGAGTTTAATGCATTTTATTAGTGGATTTATGAAGATGTGAGGTTCAAGTGGTGCACAATCAAGCGGAAGGACTCATATACGGCCATCATTGTTGGGTATGTAAATCAAGACGCCTGTTTTATTCAGTGTTCTTGAGCAAAACTTGATTTTCCGCTGTACCAAGTTTCCCAGGACTATTAAGGAATCGATAAGGATGTGATGTGGCACAAAGGACTGGGTTGGGGGGGACGCGGCGGAACCGAGGGTGCAACGGGGCCCGTTCTCCCCTAGGCTGTGTGCTTAGGTCGGGATCTTATATATAAACATTGTTAAGGGAAGTGGGGAAGGTAACTTTGCGGTTCGGATTGTTAAATTTGGATGTTATGATCAGAATGGCAAAAGGCCGGTTTTTCGGCTCAAAGACCGGAATTGTGCGAACTCCATCGACCGTTGTATTCCATTTTGGAATAACTCCTCTCGCATGAATAATTTAAAAAATCCGAAATTTTACCGAAAATGTGTACACAAGTTCTGAAAAGATCTCTCTAGGACGAATTGGCGTTAATTCGCCGTCCGCTTTTTCACCCGAAAATCACGTCCTCGCCCTCCGCGCGTCCTTCCGCTTCCCTTGCTCCATATTAAAGCCCCCATAAATATTTAACCGAAAGCTCGCTCACTCTGCAAATAACTCACACCAAACACAAGTAAATTTTTAAGGTCTCTCTTACGCTGCTCTTCGTTCCAGACGAAAATGGCACATCGGCTCTTCCTCCTCCTGGTCGTGTGCTCCGCCGTGGCGGCCTCCAACGACGACTGGACCCAGAAATGCAACAAGTGCAAGTGCGTGTGGTCGAACGGCAAAAGGACAGCAGATTGCACGAACATCAACCTAAGCGAAATACCAACGGACCTAAGTTCGGAAATCCGCGAAATCGATTTCTCGAATAACCCCCTGCACACCTTAGGCCGCGAAGTGATAAAACGTGCGGAACTCAGAGACATCCATAAGCTCAAATTCGTTAGTTGTAACATTAGTGAACTCGAAGAAACGGCCTTCGGAGGGCTGCTTCTACTCATCGAGTTAGACTTGTCGCGGAACTCCATCAAGAACGTGACGTCGAAGACGTTCAAAGACAACCTCAAACTCAGAATATTGTCGCTGAGCCACAACAACCTGAGGCGGCTGGAGAACGGGCTGTTCTACAACCTGACGCACCTCCAGAAGGTGTCCCTAGACAACAACGCGATCGAATTCATCGCCGACTCGGCGTTCCACGTGCTACCGGCGCTGCAGAACTTGAACCTAGCCGGAAACAAACTGACGGTCCTGGGACCGGACTTCCTGAAGAAGAGCGCCACGAACTTCCCCAAACTCATCAGCTTGAACCTCGAGGAAAACCCGTGGGTGTGCGACTGCCACCTGCAGGAGTTCAGGAATAGAACAGTCAAAGAAAATTTGATCACCACGAGGACGCTGTGCAAAGAACCTCCTCTCGTCAAGGACCGCTCGTGGACCGACGATGTCATCTTCGCTTGCGTCCCCCAGATCGTGGAACCTCTCCCTAGCACGCACATCGAGGCCACCACCAGCAACGTCACGCTCACCTGCCGCGTCCTCGGGGACCCTCAGCCCGACGTCAACTGGGTCTGGGTCTCCAATGGGAAAATCATCGAGAAGGACCCTCGCCAGAACACCCAGCGCTTCATCACCTCCAAGCGCAAGGTGGGCGACTACACCTGGAACAACCTCACCATCACCAACGTCAACTACCGCGACAAGGGCGAGTACAAGTGCGTCGCGACGAACCCCGGCGGGGTAGACGAGAAGAACGTGAGTTTGATAGTGTCCTCCATCGGGGGCTTCGGAAGCGGCGGCTCGTTAGCCATGGGGGCGACGTTACCGCTGATTATCGCGCTGAGTGTGGGTGCGGTAGTGATTCTGATCGTGATCCTCGTTCTCGTGTGTTGTTGCTGCAAGAAGAACACGCACGGGATGAGCGCGAAGCGGAGGGATCTGCAGAATTCGTCTGACGAGTGTATCAGGTTGCACCACGGACAGCCCGAGATGGAGAAGGCGCTAATCACGGACGTTAATCCGGTGATGAAGCCGCCGAGAGTGTGCTCCGTGCCCCCTTCGGTTAACAGTGGGGGAACGGAAGTCAGCGAGGTTAAGAAGAACCTGCTGGATAGCGATTCGGTGTTTGGTAAGTCGGGGATTTGCGGCGGTGTTGGGGTCGTGTTACGGGTTGCAGCATTAATCGGGACGTAGGGGAGTGCTGCGAGCCGGAATACGATTTATTGCTTGTTTTCGGGTTTTTGAGATGTGTTACGAATGTTTCTTATATCAATAAAATTTGTAAATTGTTTTATGCAACCAAGTAAACGTCAAATAAAGTAGGTTCACTCAGAAATGTAGGCGGCACATTCCTGAGTGATGTAAGAAACATGTATCATCGAGTGGTTTTTGTGTTTGAGAATGACGTGTGTGTTTTCCGCAGCAGGCGACGACGAGTCCCACTCGTTCGACTTCGACATGCACCCGTACCGGAAGTCTTCGGCGCTGCTGGACCCGGACTACCGCGGTAATCACCCCTACCCTCCAGATCTTCTCCCCTTCCCGCCACGTATGTGCCAGGTATCCCCGGCAGGTAGTTCAGCTTCGACGGTAGCAGACACATCCCGTTTACCAGCACACCACGGCCCACAATCGCCACTTCACAGTCCACTCTACGACTCGGCCAGTCTGTACAGAACTCTTCCTTACTCCAGATCGCAGTCCCCGTTCGTCGGTCCGCCGCCCCGGGTGCCGCGCCAGGGCTACGTGACCATCCCGCGCCGCCCCAAGCAGCGCTGGAGCAGCAGCGAGACCCCCACGACAGCCTCCGACGCCGAGGAGCCCATGTACGACAACCTGGGGCTGCGCACCACCGCCGACGGCAGCTCGGCGCTGTCGCTGAACAAGGCCGACGTCACCCCCAAGTCGGCGCGCCTCTTCCCGCTCAGCCCCGGCTGCGACCCCATCGCCGAGCACGAGGCGCAGCCGAGGCTGTCGCCGTCGCGCACGCAGTGGGCCGTGGACAACGCGGACGCGCTGCGCAGCCCGCGGGGGCCGCCGCCGGACGGCAAGAGCAAGGTGGCGCCCGTGCCGCCCCCCAAGCCCAAGAAGCGCGCGTCCGCGGGGCCGCTGTTCGAGGACGAGGGCGAGGACGGCACGGAGGTGTGAGAATGGCTCAAACTGGTGCGGGCGGCACTGGTGACTTGCTGACGGACCAGACACAGGGTCAAGACGACTTTCAAATTCGATTGTGCCTTACTAGCCGGTGTGTAGTGCTTCGATCCTCGTGTGTTTCTACGGGCTTCCATGAGTGCGTTGCGTGGGTGGGCGGTCACAGCGGCCGAGCGGCGGCGGGACACCAGCTGTGATTGATGGCACCGCTACAGTATTATTAATTTAGATAAACAAGAGCTTGATGCGCGCTATCTCTATCGTCGACGAAATTCTTGTAGTGGATGAACTGTGATCTAAGACAGACACGAAGCGGTTCGGTTCGGTTCGGTTCGGTTAGGCCGGATGGGAGCGCTCCGCGGACCGGACGCCCTCAGGAGAGATCATACCATACATTCATAGTTCTTGCTTTTTGGTGTTTCACTTTTTAATCAGGACCCGAACGTACCCTACTTTTCAATCGATGCTTGAATTACTACAAAAACTAATTGTACTATCAAATTGTATATAATTACATATTTTCTATGACTGTACTGTATATTCATTTTAAAATATAGAAGCTGAATGTAACGAAATCATAAACGATCAATAAAAATAATATTACAGTTGACTGTCTTCATCTACTCCACTCGCTTGGCTCGACGCAAACACGAAATGAATTTTTTTCCAAGCACCACAAAGAAAATATGCGTTCCTAACCTAATTTTTTTGTGTGATAGCGAATCTGTTCTTAAATGTTAATGTTTGTTTTTGTCAAGTTGGCAACTCATTTACAATTTTACGATGACATATCTGATTGTTAAAATAACAGTGATGACAGCTGCCAGCGTCTCAACCAATTAACATCTTTGTTAGGTGTGCTCATGTCAAATCGACATCTGTGAACTGACGTAGAATACTAATTCAGAATTACCAACACAAAAATTTGCGACGATCATTAATGTTAACCGTTCAGGACGTTTTTAGACAAAAGTGCGCCATGAAATTTTGCCTTCACGTTGGATAAACTGATTCATTGACATAATGGTTTGTCTGTCAGTGCGCGACGCTAATATGCCACATTTATTATTATTTAGAAATCATATTATCAAATTGCAATATTTCTGACTTTTTAAAATTAAAAAAAAAAAAAAGATAATCCCCAACTCAAGCACGAAGACAATGATGAGAATAGTGAACATATTTTCTGTGACTTTTAAAGCTTTTAAATATTTGTTAATTAAAAAATTGTCGTCACTAAAGACGAAAATTTGAAAACTTCACCTTGTGGCAAGCGAAAACCCACTGAAACATTTACGAAACGAAAAAAATTAATGCTTTACAACAGACACCTGATTTGCGAAAACAAACCGTCGCAAAATTTTATGGGAACAAAAACATGTTGTTACAACAAAAATTATTTTTTGAGAAAATTCCTCCAATTACAAAATTCTCCTGAGCATTTAACAGTCGTCGAGAAAACTTGAACTTGGCAATCAGATTTAAAAAATAATCCCACCAAAACTAAAAGTGAAGCATCAAAATTTAGAGTCCTATACACAGGAAGTCAATTTCAGTTTTCAGATGGTTGTAATTTTTTACTAAATTGGAAAAACAATGATAGAGATTATCACAAAGCAATGGACAGGACAATTTTTCAAAATTGGGTGGTTAATCAACTTCTTCCTGCTTTGGCTAAGTTGAACAAAAAATGTGTGGTAGTTATGGGCAACGCACCATATCATTCAGTGCAGTTGGACAAGCTGCCAACATTTTCTAGTAAAAAAAGTCAAATGCAAGAACGGCTGCTTAATCACAAATGTTGATACGGATTATTAAAGTTAAAACATAATCATTACCTATCCAAAAGTTAATTTCAAATTTGATTGTATTAACTATGCTTATTAAATATTGAAATAATAATTGTTTACTTCAGTGCTGTGAATCGTACTTATTAGAATGGAAAATACAAAGTGTAAAACCACTGGCCACAGTGTTACAGTTTTTGTGACATTTTCTAAGCTTACATCAAAAACGGGTTGACCTAGTTAACATGTTTTTAATTTCTTGAAAAGAAATAATGATTTTGCAGTTATAGCTTCGTCTCCTTTCTTCACGACGAATAAGGAAAAATCGTAACAATTGAGAGAGGGCGGGTGGGCGGGCTTACATTTTGCCTTTTTTTCTTAATATGTGTAGTCATCTTTTCACAACAGGAAACTTAAAACATGTTTAGAGTGGAAAATTTGTATAAAGAAGTATCGATTTTGCTTCGCCCCGTAATTGCAAATTCCATATTCCCTTGCAAAAATATACCATTTTAACCATGTTCTAAGTTTCTTGTTGTGAAAAGACGGCTATGTATATTACGAAGAAAAAGGCAAAATATAAGCCCCGCCCACCCGCCCTGTCTCAATTCTGATGATTTTTTTATTCGGTGTCAGACGGAGGGGCGGAGTGTAATTGCAAAATCGATATTTCCTTATACAAATTTACCATTTTAAACATGTTTTAAGTTTCTTGTTGTGAAAAATGACTACACATATTAAGAAAAAAAGGCAAAATGTATCCCCGCCCAACCGCCCCATCTCAATTGTGATGATATTTTATTCGTCGTGAGCCGGGGGGCGGAACTGAATTTCAAAATCCTCATTTCTTTACATAAAATTGCTATGTAAAATATTTTTAAGTATCATGTTGTTCAAAATAAACTATATACAGTATGTCCCCGGATTGAGTTCAAAAGAGGAAAAAAACTGTATTTTCTATTTTACAAAAAAATGACATAGGAATAACATTTTTTGCTTAATTCAAAACGAATAAATCTGCAATTAAAACTTCAATATTCCTGGTCTGTACTCTTAAAATTAATTTCACACAGCCTGATTATATTAAAATTTTAATTGCATCTTTATTGGTTTTGAATTAAGCAAAAAATGTTGTTCCTATGTCATTTTTTTGTAAAATAGAAAATGCAGTTTTTTTTTCCTCTTGTGAACTCAATCCGGGGACATACTGTATAGTAAGAAAAAAAAAGCAAAATATTAAGCACGACCCACCTGTCCCGATCTCAATTGTGATGAATTTTTCCTTCGTTGTTAGACCAAGGGGCGGAGCGTAATTAATCCATATTTCCATACAAAGATTTACCATTTTGAACATGTTTTAAGTTATAAAAAAAAGACTACGTATAGTAAGAAAAATGGACAATATATTTAAACAATTACTTTGTTTTAAATCTTAGATTCTACCGCTTGTTAGAATAGAATTCACTTCACATTTTACAACAAATAGAATAAGTTAGTGAAATGGAGACAAGAAATGGGCGGAGCTGAGTTCAGGTTTTCCTGAAGAGTAAGCAAGTACTAGCCCACCCACCTACCCTCGATTTTCTTAGAGGATATGTGCTTTGCCAAAATTAGTTTTATCTTAGCATGTAGTAGGCCCACCCACCCGCCCTCCATCTTGTTACAGGGTATGTGATTTGCACTAACCAAGAAAATTAAAAATTGAAAAAATGAAATCGAAAAATTGAAGAAACGAAATATTTAAAGAATTAAAAATTGAAAACTCGTGAAGTTGCAAACAGAAAAATTGCAAAATCTGAAAACTGAAATATCCTAGTTTCATAATCAAAACTTAAAGGACCTTTAACCAATGGGAGCTTTAAACCATTGTTTCAACAATGCGTTTCCATAGTAAACCAACTTTAATTTTAAAGCTTCTTTAACTTGATTATGATAAATTTCATGTTTCATTAGGGATCTTCTTTGCATATACAAAATTAGTTGCCAACCAAATCACTAATTACTTTTGCCTAAAAACATCCTGAGCCGAAAATGAAACAAGTCAACATTTCTAATACTTAATTAAAGATTGTTTTTATTTAAGTTCAAGAAAATCCTGCAAACTTTTTCTGATGATTTTTGGTTGTCGGCTGCGAGTTGGCCCAGATAATTTCCATAAACAAGAACATGCGGGACGATATCAGGGTGCTTTAAGCGACATTCTTCAAAATCTGGCAGCTCGCAAACTTGATCTTATGACACTTACAAATCGGTCGGGTTCAGCCGTATGGAAAGAGCCCTTTCGCACCACCAAGCCCTTTATCAGGCCCGAATACTGTATCATCTTTATGTGTTGCTACGATGCGAGATAATGAAACGACGTGGGCGACAGCGAGGAGGCTTTCACATCGTTTGTAACTACACGTTTTCGGCGTGTATTTATTTTAAAATGGAAACTAAATATAACGCCCGCCTTAAACGATCAATAAAAACAATATCAAAGTTGACTCCTCTTCATCTACTCCACGTTGTTATTAACAACTTTTTCACACAACTCTCTAACGAGTTCGATCCAAGTCGATAACTCATCACGAAACGGACCTAATGAAAACAAGAAAGAAAATATTGTAACTGTAGACTTGACGTGGACGTAGCGAAGTCACAGCAGGAAATTAATCAAGCAGACAAGGAAAGACGTGCACATATTGATTTACACAAAGAGGCGAAAAGGCTAGTCGTGTAAGCAAACACCGCTACAGGTAGGTGAATGGAGCTTTTGTTTCGTAGCGCTACTTAAAAAAACAATGCGGATCTGTTTATTATTTACGTTTATTAAAACAACTGCCACGAATAAATCAAGCTACACTTTTAATAAAAACCACCGTTCTGTTTCAGTCATTTTCTCTGCATTTGTTTAACAGTCCACGTTCCCTCTCTCTCGGCGGTCCACTAAGAAACACTTCCATTATTTTTTTGCTTCAAACAATTTCCCGTTCGAGCCTCACTTCCAGGTGAAACCGAGAAGATGGAAAATTCGCCGAAAGCATTCCGTGCGACCTGCAGTCCGGGACTTCTTTCCTGAATTATTCACCCGCCTGAAATATTGAAAGCTCCATTCTGGCCTCTGAAAGATTTGCGCTATGAGCCTTCGTGGCGTTTTCGCGATTGCACTAAAAATAATTATCCCTTTCAGCCTTATTTCCTTTATCTCAACTGTTTTCCTTTTGTGTAAAAGCTTCATAATGAGATAACGTTGCGCCATAACAGGGTATAATGGAAGGGCCCGCGGCAACAGCTTGTTCATTTTTCCCCTATTACCGTGGTAATGGCATTCGAAGGGCGGTGAATATTCTATTAATATGTGAGAGAAATATATAAATCGCTGTTCGATTTTTCCAGTTTCCACTTGTCCAACCACATTCGGATTTAAAACCGTTTTTCTTCTGTGTTATTATAGAATGACGACACTAGAGCGATTTTAACAAATATTCACGAGAATTTTATACTCTCAATCACGGATCGAAGGGTTGGGCTTTAAAGTTGCAGGCCGATTTTGTTCGATGATGGCCGTTGGGCCTGCGTTTCGGCGGGTCAGCGCGGTTGCGGATGGAATTGTATTTTTATGACAATGGGGCGAGACTTGATTAGGAAGCAAGGGATGCACGCCTGCAATAAAATAACTCGCACACATAAAAGTTAACTTGGGCGAATAATTTCGAGGCGGCGAAACACAGGTGAAATGTGGCACTTAAGCCGGGAACCCTAATATTAAAGTTCGGGAGAGCGAGCTCGGATTGAGCCGGGCCAAAAATTCCAGCTCGAACAAAAAAGAGAATTGTGTT